AAAAAAAAAAAAAAAAAGATATTAACAAGCCGAATGTAGTAGTCTATAAGAAGAATACCACACAGTGACCAAGTGGAGTTTATCACAGGAAGGCCAGAGACCGGTTTGGGTTGTGAATCAGCCATTATCATAGAAAGGCATTTGGGGCGGCACCTGTGGCTCAGAGGAGAAGGGCACTGGCCCCATGTGCCAGAGGTGGCGGGTTCAAACCCAGCCCCAGCCAAAAACTGCAAGTAAATAAATAAATAAATAAATAAATCATTTGGCAATTTTCTATATCCAGATAGGATGAAAAACTATCAGCAAAGTGAAGTAGCAGGGGACAGTCTAAACTTGATGAAGGGGCCCCACACAAGCCTGCAGCAGCAGCATATTTGGCAGGGGGAGAGTGGATGTCTTCCCCTTGAGACTGGAAACTAGGCAAAATGTTCATTCTCACTATTCTTATTCAGAGCTGTAATGGAATTTCTAGAAAATTCAATAAGGCAAGAAAAGGCATACCAGATTAGAAAGGAAGAAATAAAACCAGTTCTATGTGTCTATGACATGATAATCTATGGAGAAAATCATGAAGAGTTGACCAGAAATTTCTAGAACTAAATAAGCGAATTTGGTAAGGTTACTGATTACGTGGGCCACACACCACAGCCAGTCCTGTACATACCAGCAACGTGCAGTTGGAAATTCAGAGACAATACTATCTGTAAGAGCTTCACTAAAATATGTAGGTTTGAATCCACCAAAATGTGCAGAACTTTTATGCTGAAAACTGTAAAATGTTGACACGAACAATCAAAACCTGAGTAAATGGTGGTTTCTTTAGTTCGGGGTTGGACAACTCAGCGTAGTAAAGATACTGATTCTCCTCAATTGAACTGTAGATTTAACTCAGTCACAAAGCCTTAGCAGGATATATTTATAAAAATAGACTAACTGTAAATTTCATATGGGATGCAAAGGAACTAGAACAGATAAAGTGATTTTGAGAAAGAATAAAGTTGGAGCAATCAGCCTACGTGTATGTCATTTCTAACTATAAAGTTACTGGAAACTGATTGTGGTATGGTGCTGGTGATGGGATAGACCCACGGATCAATGACTCAAAGCAAAGAGCGCAGAAATAGATCTGCACAAACATGATTCATTTGCTCTTTGAAAGAGGTACAATGACAGTTCCGTGGAGGAGGGACAGACTTCAGCAAATAACTGCACACACATAAGCAAAGAAAAAAATATTCTCAACCTAATTTCCTTACAAAGGTTTATGCAGAGAGGATTAACACAAATGTTAAAATTTTAAACAGTGATTTTTTTTTTTTTTTTACTCTTTTAAAGAGAAAGTTTAGAATATTTCCAAAGAGAGTTGAAAGTGGGTCCTTCTTATGGAGGAGAAAAGATGAGAGACCAGAAGTATAAAACTTTTAGAAGAAAACATGGGAGGTGGTGAGGCCGGGGTTAGGCAAAAAGGTCTAAGGATAGAACACTGAAAGCTTGACTTATAAAATAAAAAGCTGGTAAGTTAAACCTAATTAAAATGAAAAGCTTCTACTCTGCCAAAGATGCTGTTAAGAAAATGAAAAAACATACTACACACTGAGCAAAAATACTTGCAAATCTCATATTCAAGAAAGCAGTTGTGTGTAGATACAGAAATAACTTTCAAAATTCACCAGTAAGAAAATAAGCAGTCCAACTGAAAAGTGGGCGAAAACGTAAGCAGCTGCTTCACCAAAGGGAGATGCAGATGGCAGAATCCATGGGAAGATGTGTCCCTTGTCATCACTGATCAGGAGACGGACGGTAGAGCCATGGCGAGCCGCCTCTGAGCACCTGTTAGAATGGCCAAGGTAAAAAGCAGCGAATAGTGCTGAGCAGCCCGGACGCCTGCAGGCTGCCGTGGGACGCAGACGGCCTGTCAGAGTGGGATGCTTGTGCTTTCCTCACAAACACGTGATCTCAGAGGGCCACTGTACCCAGGACTCCTGGAGATTTGCCCTAGAGAAATAAGTTTACGCAAAATCCTATGTGTGAATTTTTTTTTTAATGTGGTAAAATATATGTAACTTAGAATTTACCATCTTAACCATTTTGGGGTCTACAGTTCATTTAATTGTTGTATAGCCATCGATACCATCTGTCTTCAGAACTTCAGTATTGTCCAAACTGAAACTCCACTCCATTAAACAGGGACCCCTCCTTCCCTCCCCCTCCCAGCTCCTGGCAGCCATCATTCCACATTCCGGGTGTCCCATCTAAGTGGACTCACACAGTGTTTATCCTCTGGTGACTGACTGATTTCACTGAGTATGTTGTCAGAGTCACCCACGCACACATGTCACATCTTCCTTTGTAAGATTCGGCGACATTTCATTGTATGTATATGCTGCATTCAGGGATCCAGTCATCTGTCAACGCACGCTTGAGCTGTTGCCACCTTTTGGCTATTGTTAATAATGCTGCGGTGATCAATAATCAAATATCTATTCAACTGTACACTGGAGTTTTGAGGTGCTTTGTCAAAAACTGGAAGCAACCCAAATGTTTCTTAGCTGAAAAATGGATAGACAGATGACACTGCAGTAAGTCTTCACTAAATATCCCAGGCTCTGAGTATCTGGGACCTGATGTGAGACAATGACGAAACCTCATCAGTGTGATGGTATTCGAAGACCTGCTGTAAGCAGCAGCTTCTAAGACCCTATCGAGGTGAAGCGAGGACTCGCTGCATATCCGTACAATGAAATGTTTCTCCAAAATGCAAAGGAAGGCCTGTGGAGCTGAGGGGCAGCTTCTCCCATGTGAGTGAGCCATTCCTCAAAGGTCACGTAGCGTAAGATTTCACTTACATGGTGTCCTTGAAAAGACAAAACGGTGGTAACAATGACCAGCTCAGTGGCTGCTGGCTCTGGGGTAGGGCTGCAGATGGAGGGGAAAGGCTAGTTTCTGCATCCTGACCCGGTGGGGCATCCCTGAGTCGGTCTCGTGCCGAGTTCCAAGGTCTGCCTGTACTCCAAGAACAGCTTTACCGTTAGATAATTTAAAAAATAAATATGATGGTCAGCGTTTTTTAAAAATGAGTTTTATATACATCAAAACTAATTCACTTTAAAAAAATGTATTGATCCCTGTGGAAATGGAAAGAAACATCACAAAAAAATTTAATAAAACAATTCCACTTAGAATAGCAACGGAGCTGTGAAATAAGTAGAAATAAACTTAATAATAAATGTGCGAGAGCTGCATAGAGAATGCCATAAAAATGTTAATGAGACTAGACAAAAACCACATCCAGGAAGCGCTTCCTCACGTCCCTAGACGTAGACACTTCAGGTTTCACTCTTTCCTGAATTAAGTTGTAAATTTAAGGCAATATAATTAAAGCCCAGTCAGGCTTAAAAAGACAAACTGACCGAAAATTCATCTGGTGGAAGAGAATGTGCAAGAATAGCGAAGAAGCTATGGAGAAGAGAACAATTTAAAGTCACACCACAGCTTTTAAAATACTCTATCAATCACAGCCTTTTAACTAGCTCATTCAATGTAGGAATCCATACATGGATCAGGTGACAGAATTGAGAATTCAGGGCTGTGGATATGTATGAAATATAAATGGGAGAATTCAAATCCCTAGACGAGGAGCTAATAACGCAGGGTCGGAACTGTTGGTTATTTGGTAAAAACCTGAGTTTGTACCTCACTTTGTTCATACAAATTCCAGTTAGATTCAGGATCCAAGTGTTTATAAGATTAAAGTATGTCAGAAATCAGAAAAAATGTAGAAGGATATTTGTGTAACTTTGAGAATGCCTTAAATAAGGCACAAAGTGAAAAAAGAAAAAGCCCAATAACTATGAACACTTCAAACTGTTTATCCGAGGAAAGATATAAACAAAGACAAGTAACAGACTGGGAGAAACTTGTGTAACAAAGTATTATCATCCTACAAGTAAGGTGATCAATAAGGGAAAGACAAACAGCCTCAAAGTGACAAGGTAGCCATGTCCCCGAAGAGGCCACTAAGTGGCCAAACCCATGAGAACAGTCAGCAACCCGACGTCCTTGGGCAGCCCTGGCTGGGACACGAGATGCCTGTCACTGTGAGTGGAGGCTGACTTCCAGAGAGCACTGGGTTCTCAAATGACTTCTTTGAAGAATGGGTTACCACCCCACCCCTTCTTTTTCTTTTTCTTGTTTTAAATTATAGTAAAAAACACAGCCATTGACCATCCTGACATCGTACAGGGACCGTTTGGTAGTGTGAGGGGCATTCACACTGCTGTGAACAGATCCCAGAGCTGCTCGTCTTCAGACCTGAAACTCTGTGCCGGTGAACAACTGGCGTCTTTTCCTCCC